GTGCAGCAATCATAGACCTCAATGAGCAAAGTAGTGCTATCCTTGCAAATAAAATTCCACCGAAGCTTAGAGATCCGGGCAGTTGTACCATTCCATGCACAATAGGTACTAGGTATTTTGGGCGGGAGTTGTGTGATCAAGGGGCGAGCGTAAATTTAATGCCTTTATCAATTTATGAGAAATTGAATTTAGGAGAAATTAAGCCTACTTCCGTGACCTTGCAGCTAGCCGATAGATCTTTTACTCACCCTTTAGGTATAGTTGAAGATGTATTGGTCAAGGTAGATAAGTTCATACTCCCGGCCGATTTTCTAGTACTAGACATAGAGGAAGATGAAAATATTCCCCTTATCTTAGGACGCCCATTCTTAGCAACCGGTAGGTCAATTATTGATGTAGGAAAGAGAGAGCTAAGAATGAGTGTGGGGGAAGAAACAGTGATCTTCAAGGTGTACCGGGTGGATGAAAAGCCTATTACGGCTAATGGATGTTATCTTCTTGATGAGAAAAATGTTGAGTTGGTTACAACACCTACTCAAAACACCGTGATAAAAGACGATGATGGCACGCCTCATGACATCAAGAAGAATAAATTAAAGGGCATTCCTAAGCGAACCAGTCAAAAGAAGAATCGGATCAACCCATTTATTCAAGACTTTCTCCAAAAGGAAGTTAGGAGATGGGTTCAAAAGCTAAGGAATTGAAGAGAAGGAACAAAGTCTGGCTGAAGACTATAAACTTAGCGCTTCTCGGGAGGCAACCCGAGATTTTCGTTTTTTTTTATTATTTATGTTTTCTTGTTTTATTTTATTTATTTATTTTATATGCATGCAAGCTAATTAAATAAGCAATTTTTTTATTTTCAGGGGTCAAAGTGCAATTTTGCACTTCACACGGCCGCACCAAAAAAAGCTTGAATCCAGCACGGCCGTGTGGAAAATCGGAGAGGCTACTGCCCAAAATTGAGAAGGGGCGCGGCCGTGCAGAATTTACATTGAATTCTCGCACGGCCGTCCGAGAAACAATAGGCTACTGCCCAGAATTCAAGTTTCGCACGGCCGTGCGGAAAACAGTTCAAAATCTCATACGGCCGTGCGAACCTCAACTGAAGCATAATAAAGGCGAGGGTGGAAGAGCAGCCCGGACATGGCCAAGACGACTTATTTAGGTGTATTCTATCCTTAAACTTCGTGTTAATTACATTGAGGGCAATGTAAATTTTAAGTTTGGGGGTGGAAAATTACTTGTTTTTATGTGCTTTAATTTTTTAGTTTGCATGCCTTAAGTTTTTTTTTTTATTTGAGTTATTTTATTTTAGTTATTTCTTTCGAAAAAAAAAAAAAAAAATTGCTTGAGATAAATGCTTCGATGAATCATGATGATGAAAGATGGTCGATGTTTAATGATGAAATTGCTTGTTTTATCTTGATTTTGATCGAATTTTGGTGAGCTTTTGATTCAAAGTGTCTTAAGAAGGAGTCATTGTTAGGAATCTCGAATTATGCGTTGCTTTGGTTGAAAGTTTTGTGTTTTAAAATTTGAGTTAATTTATGTTATATCATATGCTATTCGGTTTTAGAACTTGTCTTATGAATTTACAAAGTGAAATGTTAAATTGTTGAGCAAATTGGGAAGTGACTTGGGCCATCTTTGAACCGTTTGAGCCTTTCAAGCCTACCTTTAAATTTTTATCATTCGAACCTTGATTGAGCCTTGGAGAAACGGTGTTTTTTTCTTTTAGCCAATGTGTATAAGGTAGAATAAATGGAGATTCTTGAAAAATTACCCTTTGGAGTTCGGTTGGAAAATTTTATAAGGTTCTTCTTCTTCCTCTACCAAAAAAAAAAAAAAAAAAAAAAGAGAAAAAAAAAAGAGAAGAAAAGAGAGAAAGAAGAAGAAGAGACTAGAAGAGAGATGAAATGACTAGTTGTTGAATTTTTGTTTGAAAGCTCGATCCATTGTCTTAAGAGCAAAAGTGGAGACTTTTGAACTCTTAAAAATCGAGTTTATTAAAAGTCCTTGGAGGTGAATTCATTGTTTCAAACGCTTATCTTTCAAAATTTGGCGTAATCACCTCAATTCAAGAAGCATAGCCACCTATACCCATATCTCCTACCTCGAACCAAAAAGCCCAACATTTGAAAGCCAAAAAGTCCCAATGATCCCAATAGCTCAATTATTTGATACTAGCCGAGTAAAGAAATTTGGTGAGTCTCTGGAGTTGAATATTATTATGTAAATATAAATTTTCTCCATTTTTAATGTACAAATATGGGATACTTGAAGCGATAGCATGGTTTGTGGTTTTTAGCAATGGTGAGTGAATACGTATCTTTGAATTACGAGCTTGTAAATTTTTGAGAATTGTCATGATAATTGCAAGTTCTGAAAACATGAAATTGACCATTAATCTATGTGATGAGAAGCATTTGTTGAAAGTGTTGATTTGAAGGTTCCTAGTTTTTGCTTGAGGACAAACAAAAGATCAAGTTTGGGGGTGTGTTAAGTGTATATATTTACACTTTATCGTATCTTTTTAGTTGAGCTTTTTGTGTGAATTTACGATAATTGGTGCTTAAAAAGTTGATTTATTGTATTCTAGGTACAAATTGAAGAATTGGAAAAGTTTGGGGTCAAAACTGCAATTTTGGAGAAAATATGGGCCAAAAGTGAAATAATCAAAAATATGCTGAAATTGGCTGAAAACAGGCCCACACGGCCGTGCCAAAATTAGCCTATTTTGGCACGGCCGTGCCAAATGCTGAATTTGGGCAGAAGGTTCGGCGATTCTCGCGCGGCCGTGCGAGAATTGCACTGATTTTCGCGCGGCCGTGCCAAATCACGTTGGAGGCAATTTTGGACTTTTAAACACACAAGGAAACCTAGAATCATCTACCAAGTTGGGACATCTATTTAAGCCCAAACCAAGCACGAATCAAAGAACTTTTGACACAACCTTGGAGCGAGAGGAGCGAGAGAACGAAGAATCGAAGACGGAGAATTGACAACTCTTCATCATAATTCTTCTTTCACCTATCTTTTCTTAATCTATGACTTTTATTACTTTTATTATGTTTTTCGTTATGCATAGCTAAGTTTTTAATCTAGTATTTTGTTGGAACCCTATGTGGGGATGGTGAACCCGTTTTCTTGAGATTGTGCAATTATGATTTTATGATTATTTCTTCTACTTGATATGATTGTTAGTGCATGAACTTGATCAATTTATGTGCTTTATCTGTGATTATTGCGATTGACTCGACAGAGCTATTTTGATAATTAGACGGTAAGTAGAAGAACCTTCGAGTAGTTTTCACCGGATGAGTGTGTCAATTGCATGTGGTGTCGTAGACATACAGATATCACCTTAGGTAGCCATTTACGAGACTTGTTAGTTAATGCTTTATTCATAATTTGTTTGCATAGACATATAGTGAACCGTTTATGAATAATAGACTCATAATACACGCGACAGCGGGTTATGAGTAAATTAGTGTCTCGGGTTAATAATCATGAATCAGATATTGCATAATTGAGGGGTTTTGGGTGAGCAATTCTTGCATAGGGGGAAGATAAAATCCTAGGTCCGTTTTTATTGATATTTTCTTGTGTTTAATTGCTTTCATAATTAGTTTAATTGTTTAATTGATTTTATTTGACAACTTTGCGTAGGCTGGATAAAAATCATAATTATTAGAATTTGGTACTTAGGATTAGATAATTTGAGTATTCCCTGTGGGATCGACATCCGACTCTCACGAGTCTACTTTTACTACTTGTTTGCGATACGTGCACTTGCGTGTTGGTATTTAGCACCCAACAGTAGGCTTGGCATTGGCGGTGGTGGTGGATCTTCGAAAAAGTCATCCTCGTCCTCGTCCACTTCCTCCGGCGATAGGCTCGGCGGCGGCGGCAGTGGCGTTGTTGGCCGGCGGTCCCTTCGGCTCTTATGTTGGCGTCGTCCTTGACTTTGTTCGAGCAATTTTTGGAGAGCAATCCGTATCTCCTCCACGGATTTTTCCAATCGCTCTAAACGTTTTCTCTCCGACGACATAATTCCGCAAAGTGTTGATATAATCTAACCTTTGCTCCAGCTTAGCTTCGATATAATCGCTGCCTTGCTAACGAAGCGTTGGTGTTATCGCAACTTCACTCTGATACCAATTGATAAGATCTCTTGAGTATCATAAGATTTCTTTACTAAACGTAAGAAAACTCTTCTTTATTATTTCTCTTCCTTATAAACCCTAGCACAAGACGACTATTTAAAGATAATAAAACCCTATAATCCTAATATAACTAGGAAAGATAATTACCTATACTAATAAAATACTTAATATCTATCCTAAATACTAAACACACGGCAATATAAAACTGCCTATACTACTTTAATTAATTAATAATTAAATAATAACTTAATCAATAATTAAAGGATAAACTAATTATTAATATATCGTAACACTACATTGCCTCTTGCTAGCATAATTAAACAAGGTAGAATAAATGCGGCTTTATTTTAAGAAAAATAAATAAAAAAGACTACAATAACCTTTGTCATTTTATAATTTATAAAAGAGAGTTAATGTTAATAGTTGAATTAATAAGGCTAAAATAGGACAAATACATTGATTAATGTAGTATTGAAAATCTAAAATAACAACTAATATAAAATAAATATTTTTCAAAAGTGATGGTTATCGTGAAACATAGAGAGTAGTAACAAATGAATTTGGGTTTCTTCTATCCCATATATTTTTCAGTACCAATTCAGAATTAAAATTAAACGAAGCAAAGGAGCAAGAGTAAATGATGGGCGAACCGCCATCGCAAAACCAAGAAATCGGAATACAATTAGCTACGAGAGAAGAAATCGGAGTACAATTAATTAGTTTCATTTCCACAAACTAAGGTGGTGTTTGCAAACTCTTTTCCAAAGTGATTATGAGTTTTTTCTTAGTTCAAAATCAGTTTTTTTCAAACATTAGAAAACTCATAATCACTTTGGAAAAACGTTTGCAAACGCCACCTTAACACGAGAAGAAATTAAGATAGGTATTTTCATAAATATTAAATCATTTCACTGCCAAAAAAGTTAAAAACACAAAACATAATTCAAAGTTATTGGACACACTAATCAGTCACACATAAAAACTTGTCCAGGAACTTACCTTCTTATTTCAACCACAGCCAATACTTACTAATATTATTGTAACTAAACGAAATAATTTCGAATCGAAAAGCGCAACCAATCACGGTGGGAGGAGTGCAGTTATCATTCTGATATGCATGAGGCCGTTAGTGCCCCAAGCAGGTGGCGGTGGCGGTTGCTGCTGCTGCTTATCGTGGAGCTGCAGCTGTTGGAACTGTTGCATCATGTGCAGCTCCTCCTCGGCCTCCGCATCCTCGGGGCCACAATCTAGTGTGGGCTTCCCATCATAAATTATCCATGGCGCATGGAAATTCTGCATATGGCGCTGCCCATCCAACGGATATGGAAACCGCAGGCCGTTCATTGGCATGGCAAATAGCATTTGCAACATGATTTCAGGGCTAGGCAAATACGTACTCGCGTGCTTCGCATACCATTCTATTACATCAAAATAAACATATTTCGTTATAAGTTAGGCGCCAAAAATATTAAGAGAAAAAAAAAAAGAGGGCAAATTACTCGGTTCCCTGGTGTTATGTCGAATTGCTGAAAATTACCCTTGGGGGGGGGGGCTCCAGCCCACTCTCGATTTCTAAAAAAATCTACTAAATAACTAGCTCACCCAAGTAATTTAATTTAGCACACCCACCAAAAAAATTATGTGTTGTTAGTTTAAGTTTATATGAATGAATCAAAAAAAAAAAAAATCTCGGGGCTCTGGCCCTGAACCCCCGTAAATATTAAGTCCACCATGTCTTAAATTCTGGACTCCCTCACTGTCCACGGCCCATGTCATGTGATTCAACTTTTTTAGCTGACAACCCTCTAATTAACACGGGTACCAATTGCTAATAAAGGTAAATCATAGGAGTACACGGGTTGTTTTTTTTACCAATTCGACATAACACAGGAGTACACATTGCAATAAACTCAGGTTCCAAATGAAGGGAATAAAATAACGTACACGGGTTGTTGTTTTTACCAATTCGACATAACACATGGGTACTAATTGCAACAAACTCAGGTTCCAAATGCAGCAAAAATTTCAAATTTATGGAGAAAATAAACACATAAAATACTAACTCCAAATAATTTTGATATTAAATATACCCATAGTCGCAAGATCGTTTTGATGTATAGCGTAAGCCCTCGTATGCTCCTGGTAAGCATTGCCGTGTTCGACGGAGTCGAGACCATTTTGTAAGACGAACTCGCAAAAAGCCCTACGTTCTTGTAAGTCAGGACAATTAGGGTTTATCTTCTCATCGGCCCTCAATTGGTCGAGAGCGGCTCGTATTGTATCCAAACAAGGAATCCTTTCTTCTGTGTGGGCCCTCAGGAGGTAGCTCAGAAGGTACACTATCTTACGCCACTCTAATATCTGTTGTTCTATCTGAGGCCATGCTTCTAGAAGCTTCTCATCTTTTAGGGTTTCGTTCGGAATCGGAACCGAAGAATTTGGCGGGTAGGGGTGGTTTAGTATGAATTGCATGGGAACCCCCCCTATTGCGCAAGCCAGTTCATATTTATATGATTCCATTGACTTCCGGAGAAACTCGAATTTTTCCATTTCTTCTTGTTCTTCTTCTTCGTTGAGAAGAAAGCAGAAAACCCTAATTTCTAGAGGGCTGTAAATAAATTAACAAGTCCAATGGAAAATTATGAAATATACCAAAAACGTTTTTCTTTAATTTAATAAGTCGTGGCAAAAATATCCTTAATTAAATATATTTAGTATTTATCAATGTTTTTAAAATCGGACTCGACAACAAACTTCAATCGGTTTTTTTTTTTTTTTTTAACTTATTTTGTATTTTTTATTGTTTATAAATATTTTTTAAGTGATTATCTTAGAAACATACTTTAAAAATATAAATACTTATCTTTAACAAGAATCTAAAAGCTTTAATTTGATTATTAATATCTAAATATTTAAATGTTTTTGAAACAAAATAGCAATTTTCATGTTTCCGATTTTCCGGTTAAACCACCGGTTTCCCGGTTTTTAGCCTTCCGACCTAGGTTTGACATTTTCCGGGTTTTGCTATCTAACCGGACCAGATTGGTGAGCGGTTCCCCATTGAATCGGTCAAACCAGCCGGTTGGTTACAGTTTTCAAAACATTGCTATTTATTGTACAAGCTCAGACTCTAAAAAAACTACGACCGCCTATGATTCCGTGTAAATGAAAATAACAAACTGACAATTAGAAGTTGCATTATCGAATTACAAACAACAAACTCCGTATAACTTGGTCAAATGCAAACAACAAACTGAAGAAAAATTAATACAGTGAAAGAAGGCACATAATATTGATTACCTAGTTATATCACAACCACAATTAATTATAATGTTACTAAACACTAAATAATTTCAATGAAAAAGCGCAATCACGAGTTCAAAACTCAAAAAGAATATATATATAATTTGAACGAACAAATAAACCACTAGACTTCGAGGCATGATGATGATGATGATGATGATGATGATGATGCGATCCTAATTTGCATGATGCCATTAGAGCCCCAATCAGGTGGTTGCTGCTTAACGTGGAGCTGCAGCCGTTGGAACTGCTGCACAATGTGCAGACCATCCGCCTTCAGAGGGCCACAATCTAGTGTGTGGTCCCCGTAAAGTTGCCGCAGCTGGTGGAACTGCTGCATAAGGTGCAGCCCTTCGTTCGGATCTGGAAACTGATTTATGTCCACCGGCACGATAAGTAGTATTTCCAACATGTCATCAGGGCTAGGCAAATACGTACTCGCATGCTTCGCATACCATTCTAGCACATCCAAAATAAACATAAACATATAGTTATAAGATATGGGCCAAAAAAATAAGAGAAAAAGGGTAAACTACACCTCGGCTACCTTGTGTTATGTCGAATTGCTGAAAAACTACCCTGGCCCATGTTATTTTATTAGCAAAAACCCCCCCTGTGATTCATTTTTTTAGCACACAACCCCCTGAATAGGGATACTAATTGCTAAGAAAGTTGAATCATCGGGGGGTGGGCTTTGCCGATAAAATGACGTACATGGCTCGTTTTTAGCAATTCGAAATCACACAGGAGTAAAAATTGCAATATACTCAGATTTGGTGTTATCCACAGAGACAACCTAAATGCAGCAATTTTTCAAGAATGTATTGTTAAGTTAAAACTGTGATAAAATAAAAAGATAAATATGAACTCCAATTTTTCGACCAAATAAACGAAATTTTAAAGAGTACAATTTACTAAACCTCAATGAAACAAATTAACACAATGGACTGGTAAATGATCAAAAGGGCAACTAACAATTAGCTAGGAGGTTTATATAATATATATTTATTTACCCATAGTAGCGACATCGTTATTTTCTTGAGCGTAAGCCCTAGCTTGATCCTCGTAAGCCTTGCCTCGTTCGATGATTTCAAGCCCGCGTTGTAAGACGAACTCATTCAAAGCCGTGAGTCGTTGTAAGTAAGGCAAATTAGGTCCTAGTTTCTCACAAGCCCTCAATTTCTCGAGATTAGCTCTCGTTTTATCCAAACTAAGAATCGTTTCTTCTGCGTGGGCCCTCAGAAGGTAGCTCATCAGGTACACGATCTTACGCCACTCTAATATCTGTTGCTCTATTTGAGGCCATGCTTCTAGAAGCTTCTCGTCGTTTAGGGTTTCGTGTGGTATCGGAACCGAAGAATTTGGCGGGTACGGGTGGTCTAGTATGAACTGCATGGGAACACTCCCCATAGCGCTAGCCATTTGAGATTTATACGATTCCATTGACTTCCGGAGATGCTCGAATTTTCCCGCCATTTTTTGTTTCTGTTAAAAAAAGATGTTAATTTTTGAAGGGAGAAAAAAGCAAAATACAACACACAAATTTACGTTCAAAATGCCCAAAGAAAAGAATCATAAGATAATAAACAAAACCACAAAAATACCGACCGATGAATCGCGAACTTGAAGAGAAGAAAGAAACGGAGTGTAGAAAGCCCTAATTCCGTTCTTAATTTTCTTCATTTCGGGATTTGATTATTTATTTTAGGGCCAACTTTCCATATGTATCTGCTTTGAATTGAATTGAGCCGCAACAAATGCAATTTTCTGATTCACTATTTTATTTGGATAATTATTAATTACTATAATTACTCCCTCAACAATGAATTTTTTAATTGTTCAACCCTATGGTGTTAAATTCAATATAATATTGTAAATTGTGTTGAACGTTTTCTAGTTTGTACTCGTTTGTTCTCTAGTTTGTACTTGTTTTGTACAAAAATGCAGTCTCCGATGCAACACAATCTGATATTTACAAGTCAAGAGACACATCTTATGATTCTCTTGTTTCAAAATGTGGAGTTCGAATGCGTCCACATAATTTAGAAGATTTCACTAAATTTGACGTGTAAGAAGATTCATAGTTGAGAGATTCATAGTTAAGGATGATTGTAACAACCCAAATAAAAGAGTTTTTTTTTTGTAATTTAACATTAACTTAAGGGAGGCCATAATTTACCATTTTATTTTTTTAAAGTTTCATAAAATTGTATTTGATGCCGCCCAATTCAATTAAAAGGGGATCAATAGGCATGTGTAGAGATTCTAAGAAAATTCTAGATTTTTTTTCGGAGTTTATAGAGAATTCATAGTTATTGGATCCAATTGATTGCCATCGTCAGTTGAGAAGGCCGAATTGTATAATAGGGGTATGAATTTTCATTTGTAAACCATAGAAAAAAATAATAGATCCATGGGACTGCTAGACTAAAGGAAGATACAAATAAATTTTACTATTATGAAGATAAAAAAAATCAAAAACTACACTTTTTGATTATCATATACAAAATAAGTCATTAGTATATGAAAACATCAAATATATATGTGCACTGCCTCATCTGCTGGAGCTGAAGGATTATCTCTCCTATAAACACAAAACCAAAAATGAGTTGAGAAAAAACAACGCATGTACTAAAACAAAGCATGTGGCATCCTACAGTCTATTGACAATTTCTGCGGCGATGTCGATATCAATCTCATCAAGTGCAGCTCAGCACCGGGGCTTTGGATTGGAGTATCGAGAATGTAATCATTCGTAAATGACATAGCTTCTTCAGTTGGTTCATCTTCACCAATTTCTGGTACTGTAGGGACTAAATCTTCAGGGTTTTTAACAAGGTAACTCATCTTAAACGGAAATTGTTTTTCACCATTCCCAGCCATCTGCAACAACCAATGTAAATATCATTAATTTCATAAATTATTCCATTCAGATGTGATAATTGACCCCATAATAACAAATGAAAAAACGAACAGCTGCATCGAGAAAAGGATACAAATATAACTTTCATCACAAGCAATCCCATTTAACAGTATAAATCCGCTAATTAATAACAGCATATGTCAGTAAATTCATAAACTATTTCACTAAGATGTGAAATCAACACCAAAATAATAGGTGAAAAACGAACAAAGTGTAGGCATTGAAGATAGATGAAACTTTCACCGCAAGCAATCACATTAAAGAGGATAAATCAATTAAACTGTGAAACGCGTGGAATTCCACAATTTATTTTTAACTCTCTTATTTTTAAACTAAATTTTAGTTATAGAATAAGTAGTGCTTAGTGGGCTAAGTATAATGCCTAGTGGGCTAAATTGAGGATATTATCTTATCTACTAAACTAACCCACTAACCCATGTTCTTGAGTGTTCTTGTAGTCGGTTTTCTTGCAGATCATGGGCTGAGGAGTGGAAGCTTGAAATGTCTATAAATACCGGCTTCAAGACTCAGGGAAGTTAATTGATTCTAAGAAACAAAAACTGAGAGCTGAAGAGAATACATGAGAGTTTTAGTGTGTTTTTAGAATCTGTTCTAAGTACTCCTCATGAATACATTCTTTGTAGTCTAGATTGTTTAGTATATAGTTTTTATGTTTCTAGATTTGGTTGTAAGAATGATCAAGATAGTGATTCATTCATAAGAAAGAAGTTCTTGTACTTCTTCTCTTTGTATTCTTGTAATATTGTTTTAATATAAGTTTTACGTCCTTTAAAGGGCAAGTTCACAAGTTTTACTTGTCAACATTTTTAAATCTGAGTATTGTTTTTATATTTCTGGGCCCGGTTTTTTCCAGGTTTTTAACCCTTTAATTACCCCCTTTTTTTTAAAAGGATTTGGGGCCCAAAAATTTTTCAACGTTTTCAAAATTTGGGGGTTTTTCCCGGGGGGGGGTTCCCCGGGGGGGGCCCCTTTTTTTGGGGGGGGGGGGCCCCCCCCCCCCCCCCCCCCCCCCCCCCCCCCTCCCCCCCAAGATTTTTTTTTTAAGCTGTTTTTTTTTTTTTTTTGGTATTTATGTATTAGTTAATACATTTTTGCCCCCCAAACGTTTAATTTTGTACACTTTAGTCCCCAAAAACAAAAAAAAAATTATCTCTTAAATTACCCCTATATTTCCGCCCCCCTCCCCCCCAAAAAAAAGCCCCCTAGGTCCGCCCCTGATGATACCTTTGATGAATTCTACGAGATTGTATTCTAGAAGAGAGATTTCCACCAGCGAAGATTTCCAGGAGAGAGAGAGAGGAGATTTCCACGAGAGATGTAGGTGTAAGAAGTGTAGAGATAGTGTTTTGAGCGGCTATGTATGAAATTTGTTTTAAATGAGGAAAACCCAGCCTGCCCAGGTGGTTACACGATCAGAAAATAAAAAAAATGGCAAAATTACAATCACATCCCTGAGGGTATTTACGAAAAAACCCGTGTTTTAGGCGGGAAAATGATGAAAAGAAACAAATGAGAAAAAAACCAGCCCATATAAGGGGTTTTATTATTTATTTTTTATTTTTATTTTTAGGCGGCATATTCGTATTTAATTTTAATTTTTATTTTTTTGGTTTCTTTTCTATCTATTAATTCTAGGAGTGGGTTTGGTAGGGCAACCGTACAAAACCCCTCGAATTAATATTATTATCGAAATTTCGGTATTATGAAATTCATTACCAATGTCCTACCAAAAACGGTATACCAAAAGTTTGGTTACCGTAGTGGTAATTACCAATTTATGTTATCTACTATTTAAGTCTAAATTAAATATTATTTTTTCAAAGCAATTCAAGGTATATACAAGTTTAAAATGTACAAAACTAGTATTTAAAATAGGGGTCATTAGCAATAAACCCCTCATATAGTTAATAAATAGTGATATGTCCACCCCTTAAATCTTTCTTTGTGATAAACCCCTAGAAATTGTATTCCCAATTCTACCCTTGTATCAATTAGCATAATTTCACCCAATTATTCCTTTTTTTCTCTCTTTCCATAATCATAATTTAATTCCTAAAAATATATTTCCATATTCCAAAAAATTGCTACCAAATTAAAAAAATGATTTTTTTTATTTTTTATTATTTATTATTTTCGGATTTTATTTAGTCATTTTTTATTTTTATTTTTATTTTTTTAATATTTTTTTAATAAAAATATTTTTTTTTTATTTTTCTTAAACAAAAAATTGAATTTTTTTGGACAGTTTACAATGCCGAATATGACTATAGTTGAATATGACTATATGTGACTATGTCAATTGTAGTCGTATTATTTCTTTATATTGCACTTTTTTTACATTTTTAGCTTTAAAAAATCCGATTATATAGTGTTGTACAGTCATGTTTACCAAATTATATAAAACAACTAAGATTCCCTATTGTTTAGGGAAACAATACAATCAACATCCACACAAAAAATCGCAAAAGAATCACAATTTGAATCTTGTTTTTTCAAGTCAACTTGAAACGAGAAGATAGAACATATTCGAATATGAGTACAATCATATTCAACAATAGTCGTATTCAAAATGACTACAGTCATATTCGAAAAAAATACATAAATATGACTATAGTCATATTTGAATATGACTATAGTCATGTTGCTGCTACTGTACAAATTTGAAATTATATTTTCAGATCTGGAGGGAAAAAAAAAGAGAGAGAGAAATCGAAAGTACATATAAAAGGGGAGAAAATTAACGAACAAGATGGAGGGGGAGTACGCTTCAATTCATCTAACTAAATACATAAATATGACTATAGTCATATTTGAATATGACTATAGTCATGTTGCTGCAATTGTACAAATCTGAAATTATATTTTCAATTCTGGAGGAAA